TGCACTGGAACGGGGTGGATGCAGCCAGATCGTCATATTCACGGAGACACCCCCTTCGTGCTCCGGTGCTGTCCTGCTCGTGGAAGTGCCGGAGAACAACTCTGAGTCCGGCTCGTTGGTCGTACGGCGCCGAGCAGCGAATGGCTTTTGCCTGGGCCGTGCAGTCTGTGGCGGAGGTGCGGTCGGTGTGCCGTCCCTCGTTCTCGTCCTCGCTCAAGTGGCGGGTGGCGGTTCCGGTGGAATTCCCGGCGGTTCCGGCTCACCGGGGAACTTGATTTTCCACAGCGCCTGGGAGCGCGTAATGCCACGGACGTTGGCCATGTGCGTCACGACGCTGGCGCGGCAACTGCAGTGCTTGCCGCACACCGGCCAGTCTGCCGGGCGTTGGATAGTGGCGGGGTGGGGTCCCGCGGGAGAAGGAGGCGTTTCCGTGCGAGGTCCATTGCGTGCCTGCTGTGCGGCATCCGGGCCGCAGCGACGGCATATGCTCGGGATGGCGGGCTGCAGGAGCCATAGCAGCCATCCGTAGTTGAGCAGAACCCTCGTGCGGAGGCGGGCCAGTGCGGCCCCTAGCCCACGAGTGAGGGTGGTGTCCGTGCACGTGGGTCCCTGTCGCCTGCTGCGGTGGAGCAGCGAGTTTCCTCCCTGAGCTGTCGGGCGCGAATAATATGTTTGGACTGTGCGACCATGCCGGTGATCCATCTGTCTGTGAGCTGTGCGAGGTCGGATGCCTTCTCGGATTTCGCACCACAAGCTTCGTTTCTGGACACGCCGCAGTGGCCGAAGACAGACTGCGTCCGTGTGCGCGCTCCTCGGTGCGGCGGGCGGAGCAGGAGTGTCCTGAGTCGACGATGTATCGGGACAGATGCCGTGAAAGGACCCGTTGCTGGAGTGCAGTCAGGAGAGAGTGTGAGCCTGTGAATATTGACACACTACACGGTGCACTGCCTGTCCGCGGGATGCTGCTCAATGGCTTTCTTGTACCAAGGTGTGGGGCGATGCGTTCGGCTCTGCGGCTGCATGGCATCCGTTCTGTGCCGGCCCCGGAAATGTTGATCGGCGTTCCATTCAGGTAGAGCAACGCTGCTGCTCCCAACTTGACGCCGAGTTCCACGGAGTCTTCTGTCCATCCTTCGCGGCGTTTTCTTCTGGCTGTGGCGACAGGCCTGTGCGTCAGAAGTGGCGGGTGATCCAGCGGTCACAAGCCTGGTGCTGGGCCTCGTCGGGCCATCTGCAGCGGCACCACCGCGGGAGGCGCGGAAACGGACTCGAGCTGCGGTCCGCGGGGGGTCGCTGTGAGGGGCGGGCAGCGAGCTTCCGTCCAAAGCGTCCGCCGAAGGGCCATGATTAAGCCGTGCGGTTTTCTGGCGAGATGCTGCGGGTGGCGGACGATGGAAGCAATAAAACGCAAAGCACCTCCACGCGTCTCGCATAGAAGCACATACCGGAGTCTGCGCACCAGCACCGCATCGGGGAGGGGCTGCAGCTTTGCCTCCAACACGGCATCCTCCACTCTACTTCCTCTCGGGGTTCACGCAACTATTTTGCTCGTCTGGTACCTTGCGGGATCCGGCGTGCAGCGGGACTTCGGGGAGGCGTCCCAACACCATGCGCTGACGCCGTGCGTCGCCTCCGCCCGCGGCAGCGCAATGTACACCGGCCTCCGTGTGTCTCTCCTAGTTCTCCACGCAAAAGACAAAATCGCTGCCAGTTGGAGTGGGCGCTGATCCAATTCCTCACGGCGATTTGTCACGTGTGCCCATTCCACGAGGATGCTGGAACTTGATGCCCAGAAGAGTCGGCATGCGCTCCATAGTGACCAGGGCGTCCTCATAGGCGAGGCGCAGTGGGGCCGTGTTGCCGGTGCCGAGGAGAGTTTACCTCGCCCTGCTGGGGGTTGCCTTCATGAAGTATTCTCTGTTCCACTCTGCGACGGCACTCAGGCCTTCTTTTGAGGCCGAGTTGATCGCATCTCTGTTGCTCTGCCGTGCGACGGTGGTGAAGGCATCAGCAATGAACCCCTGGCGAATTATGGCACCCTCGAATGACAAGAACAACGAGACTGCATGACGACGACGAACATGATGGGTGACGGCACTGTTCCCTGCGGTGCGCCTCGTGTGAGGGTCCTGGAGGAGGGTGTGAGTTTTTTGTCGATGCAAACCACAGCGCTTGTGTTATTGAGGCACGCTGCTGACCAGCGTGCGATGCGATTGGGAATCGACAGTCGCCGCATTTCCAAGATTACCGCGTCAGGGCCCACCGTGCCAAAGGCATTGGCGTGGTCCACAAAGACAGCCGCCGTGGAGCATTGCGATGCATGGTAGCCCTGAGGTGCAGCAATTGGTCGGGGGTGGAATTGCCCGGCAAGAAGCCAGATGGCTGGAGTCAACTGGGAATCGATGACGTCCCGGATGCGTGTGGCAGAAATGCGTTCCATGAGCTTGCTGGGGCAGCTGCCCAGCGTTACAGGTCGGTGGGGGGTCGCGGTTGGATGCCGTTCTCTCCGGATTGGGCAGGAGTAGCAAAGCCCCGCGTCGCCGATTCCGCGGGACGGCCCCTGCACGTAGGCGGCTATCGAACAGCCAGGGGACGGCACGCCTCGCCACACGGCCTAGATGGCGCAGTGCCTCTCCATGTATTCCGTCGGGGCCAGGCGCCGGTCCCAAGAGCAACAGCCGTAGGGTGTGGCCGGGCTCTGCCATACTTATTGAGTGAGGTTCATCGCATTTGTCGGGATCGGTGGCGGAGGGTGGGACTTTGGGTGCCGTGTTGCTTTCGCCGCCTACAGCTTCATGAGGTGGCTGACCCTCGGGTGTCTGCTGAGCATTGGGCCATCGGATTTCCCGGCTGGCGTGCTCAAGGAACGAGAAGCGCACAAATGGGCGTACTACCTGCTGCCTGCCGCCGTCCGTGCCCTCGAGCTCGGAGCGGAGCGTGTGCCAGCGGCTTTTGGATGCTTCGCGCAGCGCTTCTCTGCGACGGAGGTCCAGCCGCTGACTGCCTTCTGTGTCAGATGCGGTGGCAATGGCGCGGCCCAATTCCGCCAGCCATGGAGTCCAGAATGGGGACGGCTGGTGATTCCATGCCGGGACCGTTGCCTTGGTAGCTGTCCGCGTTCCTATTACAACGCGCTTCTCCGTGCTGTTCATTTTGGGTAATTCTCATGTGTTTCTGCGGAGCTGGCTGAATACTTCGCTGGGCTTATTCCAATCTACCTTCTTCCATACTAATAATTTCCGGTTAGGCCCCAGCACCACGGCGGGTGTGTCGTCGTCCCCGATCGGAAAACAAGGAGGATGGTGCAGTGATCGCTGTCCAGTAAGAGCTGTTAGACCAATGGGTGACGACACAGTCCTTCTAAAGGGTGGTGTAGGGTGCTGAGCTGCCCTGTCGCTCGGTGTAACTCGTGCGCTCTCCGCTGTTGACGGCCTGGAGTACATTCTCAATGCACCGCTGCGCAATGGTATCGCCACGGGAGTCTGGTGGGATGTTGCGTTCCCAAGCCTCCGTGTGTGCCTCGACGTCTGCGTCCATTAGCTGTGGCCCGTCCGCGCAGAGCTGCCCATCCAAGTCCTCCGCCGTCGTGCTCTTTGCAGAGGAGGGAAGGAGAAATGCTGATGACGCCATCAGGTTACTTCCCGCCGCTGGACGGATGGTCGCTTGCGCCAGCTCGATGTGGGCGACAGAGGCCGGTCCTGCTACCGCCTGTGGCCTCTCACAGACGAGAATGGACACACCGCCGCCACGGCAGTTGCGAGCGGTCCTGTGGTGCTGGAACCCGGCAAGCTGAAACTAGTGGCTTCGGGGTGGGGGACGTCTCCGTCCCACCCATCACACAAAACAACACGTTCTCGCCACGCAACTTCGTGCTCAGCGCCAGACGTTTTGCCGGAGTGAGGCCGGCGGTGTTCCACCGCAACGCAGAAAGCCGCCGCAAGTCCGCCGCCCACTAGCAAGTCCACCCGTCGTCTGCTTCCCGTCCGCCCGCGCCACCCCTACACTGTGCAGCCTTCTACAAGAGAACACAAGCAGGGAGAAAAAGGACAGCTGCGTCGTCAACAAGCAGGGGCCGTGTGCCACTGGCGCTGTCCCGCCCACTGGGCGCATCGGCGGCGGGGCGAGCGTCACAGCACGCACTCTCCACACACCGGGAGCCACACCACCGGCACTGACAGCAGTCGCACCGTGGGATGTTCCGTTCACGAATAAATCATACAAACACACAAGAATACATTCCCAGCGGCTCCCAACCGCAAGGTGAGGGCTCAGGCGTGGGAAAGCCGAAGCAAGCAACGCACACACAAAAAAATGTTGAATCCCTCCATTTCCCAATCGCACAATTAAAAGAGAATAATCTTTCTGGGCCACTGGCCGGATCCTGAG